TCCATATCTGCTTTGACAGGCGTTTCTCCATAATTTGTTCACAAATTATTTTGTTAATGTCAATAAATTTTCCATAAACATGCTCAATTGTCATAATGACCATCGAAATGTGATATGACAGTGTTGGGTACCAGAAGGGAAAATAAATCTTCATCTGTGGAAGCACGTACAAGAAAAACAAACTCAGAAATTAACGTGATTCAGCATTTCTTGCATACATTTACTAACACACTCAATAACTCTTTATTTTTTAACTTATCATTTTTACAAGGACAAAATTACAATCGTACAATTTTTATAAAAAAAAATTACAAATCTTTTCTTAATACACAACCACTGAAGTCTACAATACACCTAAATACTATTATTGTTACTTTGAGTATACCTAAATTATTACCTTTTAATTATAATAGTTATCTACTATTTTCCATCTTCAAACTATTCACTACGAGACTTTCAAACATACCCGTACACTTTTGGGCAAAACAGGCAGATTGCACAAAACTCTTATCCTCACTCATTTTATGATTCACTCAAAGGCTGCGGCTTTTTTTATCAGGCCCCAAAATAAAAGCTCTGTTACCATTTGTAGAAATATTAAAGTATATCTTAATAAATTGATGAATAGATATCTTATTAAATAGAAACCAAACCTTTAAATAACAACAGAAAACAACAAATAATTGACACAAAAAAATTTAAAATTTGCGTAACAGACCTGACTATTTATGTAACATACTCAACAAAACATAACAAACTTCAACCCATCGTTATCTCAAAAATTTTATTTGCACTGGGAATATCAGTATGACATATCTGAAAAATCATAGCCTACTCTCCTTGGAAATTGTTTCAACATTATTAAAAAGAACACCATAGTATTAAATTTCTTCTACGTGTGCCCACGAGTTATGGAACGGCCTTTCTTCTCATTACAATATATTTTAAAGAAATATATTCATATTTTTATCACCACTTATTATGAATTATTATATACGAGTATATCATCAACTTATTAAGATTCACAACAGTTATTTTAAGTCTCATCTATTATAAAATTTTAAATAAAAAATATTATATTATTTCAATTGATTAATAGTGTAAAAATTATATAGAAATTTATTTTCCACTTAAATTAGTAATATATATATATATATATATGGTTTTTAATTGTTATATATGTGGTGAGATTATTTTAGTATGATGAATTTTCGAATACTGTATTTTTTTTCCTAATATATCTTGATATAATAACATGATATTACAATGGTGATAGATTTGGTTCCATGATAAGATGGGAATAAATTAGTTTTTGTTTTCTATAATATATCTAGATTTTATGTATGTTTTCTAATTAGATAGTAATAAAAAACAACAAATCATACTCATTAAATTGTCACCCATATTCACATATCAACAAATTTATAAAATATTCATTTATATTAAAATTTTGTATTTCAATGTTAAGTGGGTAAAAATTATTATTTTAAAATATTTATTAAATGGGTAAAAACGTAAATTCAAAATTTTAAAAATTAACTAAATAATATATATAATAAATTTATTGATAATATATTTTATAAAATAAAAAAATAATGAAAATTATTATTATAATCATTATAATCTATAATTCACGTAATATAAAATATATTAAAAAATATAAAATAAATAATAATTGAAATAAAATATAATATAATAAAATAAATTGTATTTAACATAATTTATGAGATAAATAAAATAAAATATATTATATTTTTTAAAAATTATATTACAAAATATTTTATTTTTTTATAAAAATTAATTTAATCTTAAAAATGAATCAATGTTTAAAATAATAAACGAATATCTAAATTATCCTAACTGAGAGATTATAAAATACTCATATTTTTCAAAACAATACTAAAAATTCTAGGATAACTTATACGTTTACTATCCCGATTACTTTTAATCGGTTTAAATTTATCAGCAACTTTAATTAATTTTATTTAAAAATTAATTAAAATATGACAGACGTGTATGGTGATTTAAAAATATTTAAATTAAAAAATTATTAACCTATTATAAAAATTGATTTGATTATTAAATTATATAATTTTTAAACATTCACTACAAAAAGAATGCTTATCTATGGGTAAAATCAGTAGGTAATGACAAAAATCCGTAGGTAATGTCACTTTACCTACGAATTTCTTTCCAGTAGAAAATCCGTATGTAATTTGGTCGTAGGTAATTACCTATGGATTATAATCCGTAGGTAATGCACTCATCTGGAATTACCTATAGATTATAATCCGTAGGTAATGCACTCACCTAAACAAAATATTTTTATTTATTACAACCCCCTCCCTTATTTTTTATTATTACCTAGGACCACCCTCCCCTTTATATTATATTTTTATTATTTATTATATATTTATATATTTATATATTTATATATTTATATTTATATATTTATGTATTTATGTATTTATATATTTATGTATTTATATATTTATATATTTATCTATTTATGTATTTATGTATTTATGTATTTATGTATTTATATATTTATGTATTTATGTATTTATATATTTATATATTTATATATTTATGTATTTATGTATTTATGTATTTATGTATTTATGTATTTATGTATTTATGTATTTATGTATTTATGTATTTATGTATTTATGTATTTATGTATTTATGTATTTATGTATTTATATATTTATGTATTTATGTATTTATGTATTTATGTATTTATGTATTTATGTATTTATGTATTTATGTATTTATGTATTTATGTATTTATGTATTTATGTATTTATGTATTTATATATTTATATATTTATATATTTATATATTTATGTATTTATATATTTGTATTTATGTATTTATATATTTATGTATTTATATATTTATGTATTTATGTATTTATATATTTATGTATTTATGTATTTATATATTTATGTATTTATGTATTTATGTATTTATATATTTATGTATTTATGTATTTATGTATTTATGTATCTATATATTTATATATTTATGTATTTATGTATTTATGTATTTATGTATTTATATATTTATATATTTATATATTTACACGAATAAATATAAGTATAATTTAGTTGTAAATTATTAGTAGAATATTCTAATAGTTTAGTGGTTGGAGTATCAGTTTTCAACTTTAAGGTCTGGGTTCGATTACTTGCTAGTGACAATTCTTTTAGTTTAATATAATTTACCTACGGATTTGTATCCAGTAGGTAATATAAACTTTTTTTTGTAGTGACTATAAATTTAGAAAAAAAGAACAAAGAATATAATAAATTAAGATTAAATTGGTTATTTAATTTCAATTATTATCAGATGTAAAAGGAATTTATAAAAAATTTTAAAATGATAAAATTCATTTATTATATGTTTTGCATACTGAAAATTAATAGTTTTATAATAATTTTTCTTTTAAATTATTAAAATTTAAAGAAAATATTTACAATGATTTAAATAATTAAAATTAATTTATGTGAATTATTAGTCTAAACACAATGTTCATAACTTTTTTTATTTTAAAAATGATAATAATTTTAAAATTATTATAGTTACTAAATTAAAATAGTTTCTTTTTTAATTTCAAATATTCCCAATATCAATAAAATTATTTTCTAAAATTTTTACAAAAATAATGCATAACAACTTAAAATAATCAAACACTGACATATGCTCTACTCTATATATATATATATACATATATATGTAAACAATACTTAGTCTATATTATATTAAAAATTGTATAATAATCAAAATAGAAAACTAGAAACAAGTGTAGAGACCAATTATGTTGATTTTAATTAATGTCAAGCCCTTATTTTGTTTCCCTCTCTATCTTCTCATTAGAGACAAAATATAATAAGAGACAATTTTATTTCTAAATCTTCCATATTATAAACTTTCTGTTTCGTTTCTAGTTACTGAAATTTGTGTAGGTTGAGTCTTACTTAGTATATTTGTTTAATAGTATGTGATGTATTGAATGTTGACTATATAAGTCCATGCCGTTGTTATGTTATATTGAACTTTAGACACAAGTTGAATAATATTTATATATTTTAACAACTTTTTTAATTGTTTATTGAGATAACAGATTGTTGTTATGTGTTGGAATTATCTGAGATCCAAGATGATCTATCTCAAGATATGATTGAAAACATTCTGTTTGCATATAGTTACGCTTTTTTACATTTGTATAGGAAGAAAGAAATATGATTGAATTCATTAGTCTGGGTTGTTTTTCTGATTAACAGGTTCAAATGTTTATAAAATGAACAGGTTATTTAAAAAAAAAAAATCTTATTCTACGTTATTAGTCGAATAGAGAGTTTTTTTTTTCCTTATTTACAAAGATTAAACATATAATCGATGTAAAAAATTTCAAAATTACAAGGAAAAAACGCATGAAATAAGAAAATAAATTTACATAATTTTATGTTTCTATTGTACAGTCCATAAAGTTAAATCAATGGCAACTTTGCTAATAAAAAACTTAAGATCCAGTTTATTAGTACTAAATTGTATATCATTGTTTCATTCTTACAATCAAACTACTATTGATTTGCACAAACGTTCATGCATACAATGATTAGTAAGGAATACGAAAATGTATTAGGATAAGGTTACTTATTTCTCTTCCCTGACACTCCATTCCATATTTGGCATGCCATTTTCCCGATATATATATATATATATATATATATATATATATATATATATATATATATATATATATATATATATATATATATATAATATGTAGCACGAGGAACCCAAAACCTTATAAAAAAATATAATAAGGACCACGAGGAGGATCGCAAATAAAAAATAACCCAACAATTAGCGTAACAGGGAGTTTCTGTCCACTTTTCCGTACACACCTATTTAAGACTTCATGCTGGCATAGGTGAAACCTCAAACACTGTCCTTGTGCCCAACAAAGTAAAAAAAACAAACACAACCCAGACATGGTAGACATCCATGTTTACCTTGTTCTGTTCTTCACGTGGTTCATTTCGACCCTTTTCATTCGTTCAATCTTCAAAAAACCGCAGAATCTGAGACTCCCTCCTGGCCCTCCCATCTCAATACCCTTACTAGGGCACGCGCCCTATCTCCGTTCCGTGCTTCACCAAGCGCTGTACAAACTCTCTCTACGATATGGCCCATTGATCCACATCACCATCGGGTCCAAACACGTCGTTGTGGCGTCCTCCGCGGAGACTGCCAAAGAGATCCTCAAAACCTCCGAGGAGGCGTTCTGTAACCGCCCCTTAATGATTGCGAGCCAGAGTTTAACGTACGGCGCCGCTGACTACTTTTTCATTCCCTACGGAACCTACTGGCGCTTCCTGAAGAAGCTCTGCATGACGGAGCTTCTCAGCGGGAAGACGCTGGAGCATTTTGTTGGCATTCGTGAGAGCGAGGTTGAAGCGTTTTTGAAGCGGATGTTGGAGATTTCCGGGACGGGGAAGGAAGTGGTGATGAGGCAAGAACTGATAACGCACACGAATAATATTATCACGAGGATGATCATGGGGAAGAAGAGCAACGGTGCGAATGATTTTGTGGCGCAGTTGAGGAAGGTGGTGAGGGAGGTTGGGGAGTTGCTGGGGGCGTTCAACTTGGGGGACATTATGGGGTTTGCGAGGCCTTTTGATATTCAGGGGTATGGGAAGAAGAACATGGAGACGCACCAGAAGGTGGATATGATGATGGAGACGGTGCTGAAGGAGCACGAAGAGGCGAGGGCCAAAGCGGGTGGTGACAGTGATAGGAAGAAGGATCTCTTCGACATTCTCTTGGACCTCGTTGAAGCTGAGGGTGCTGACAATAAACTCACAAGGGAAAGTGCCAAAGCCTTTGCTCTGGTATGTATATATATATGTTTTCGTTTACTTTTACACTGCTTCATACCTTGGACTTATTATATCCATCGTAAGGATCATCACAAAAGGACACTTTTTATTTATATATTTTTATTATATATTATTTAAATATTACCAAATATGTGAGGTGTTAACCAAAAAAAAAGAAGGAAACTTCTTTAATTTTCACCCATTTTATCTATATTAATAATTTTATTTCTCTTTAATAAATAATTTTATTTTTTATTTACTATATTTTCTCTTCCCTTTTAACCACATATTTAAAAGGATAAATTTGGAATAAACTCTAAATCGAAGGATATTACGTGTAGACGTGTTTATAAAAATAATTATCAGGTGGAAATTAATATATATATATATATATATATATAGATAAAAAAAGAAAATAAATAAAATAACACGCTAGATTGTCAGTGTTAGATCACGGGGGAATCAACTCTTTTATTCTTACGTGATGTCACACTCGTTATCTCAGTGGGAATGAAAAATCAACCAGTCACTTAACTAGTGCAAATAATGTAACTAATATAATAATATTACACATCTTCAAGAAGAGGGATAAAATGGACATTTTATTATAAATGTGTATTAATAAAAATAAATATTTTATTATAAAGTATTTAAAAATAAAATAAAATAATTAAAATTATAAGAAATTATTTATATAAATAATTTTATTTAACTTTAAGTAATTTATATATAAAATCTATACTAAAATATTTAATTTTATTTTAAAATAATTCTTATTAATAATTTCTTTCGATATCTTTTAGAATCTAATACTTTTAAAAATTTTAAATTTTGTAAAATAAATAGAATTTATTGATAATTAATATTTAACAAAATTATAAGGATTAAAAGAACTTGAAAAATTAAAATTACCATTTAACGAACTTATAAGGATTAAACATAATTCAATAAGAAAAGTCACCAATTTATAGTGATGAACTATATATTGAAGTCTAATATAATTTATATAAGATTTTAAAAAAATTCTAAAAAGATTATATAGAAACTAAGATGTGATACTTTTATGAAAAGGATTTATTTTTCTAAATCTATGAATCTATTAAACCACAATTAATTATAAAAATTTGTAACAATATTAAAAATAAAATATATTATTAAGTGGGTCTTATAATTAGAATTATTTAAAATAAATTAAAATTATTAATATAAATAACTCTACTTATTTTAAATAATTTTAATTATAATATTTAACTAATTAAACAATTTTATTACTCCTCCACAGGACATGTTCATCGCTGGCACAAACGGCCCGGCGAGTGTTATGGAATGGTCCCTGGCGGAGCTGGTGCGAAACCCTCTGGTGTTCAGGAAGGCGAGAGAGGAGATAGAGTTTGTGGTGGGGAAGGAGAGGCTGGTGAAGGAGTCAGACATTCCCAACCTCCCTTACCTGCGAGCAGTGGTGAAGGAAACTCTGAGACTGCACCCTCCCACCCCAATCTTCGCGCGCGAAGCCATGCGCGGGTGCCAGGTCGACGGCTACGACATCCCTGCGCACTCCACCATCATGATCAGCACGTGGGCCATCGGCAGGGACCCCAAATACTGGGACAAAGCCCTGGAGTACAACCCAGAGAGATTCTTGGTCTCGGATGAACCTGGAAAAAGCAAAATCGAGGTGAGGGGACAGTACTACCAGCTTCTACCTTTCGGAAGCGGAAGAAGAAGCTGCCCCGGAGCCTCACTTGCGTTGCTCGTTATTCAAGCGACGCTGGCGAGTTTGATCCAGTGCTTCGATTGGGTGGTGAACGACGGGAAGAGTCACGACATTGACATGAGCGAGGAGGGAAGGGTGACAGTGTTTTTGAAGAAACCGCTTATGTGCAAGCCTGTTCCCCGGTTCACTCCCTTCGCTGCATGAACAGTGTGGATGAGTGCGACCTTGTTTTATTTTATCATTACCTGCTGTCATGTTTGTACATTAATTCTTGCTTTTGGGAATGTTTGGCTTAAAGTTGGTGGCGTGATGGGTTTTCATGAACCTTTCACTTTTCATGTTTTGTTTGTTTCTTTTCCTCCTTTTTGTCCTTGTCTCATTTATGTTTTTGTAAGGATGATGGGAGAGAAATAAGTTGGATAAAAACAAATTATTATATGTCCTATATCGTCATAATTAACTTCCTCTTATCACATTCTATAACTTATTACAGTTGTATTTTTCTTTTTCTTTTTCTTTTTTTACTATCAGTGCATTTGTATTGTATAAAAATAGAAGTAGATGAAAATAGAAGAACATGAATGGTTCGGTATAATAAGAGGTGTGAAGAAATACAATAAAACCATTTTATTATGTTTTAAGTCTCGAAAACTTTTTCAAATTCGTAATTTAGTTTTAAAACAAAAATTGTAATTTTGTTCTTTAGCCTTTGAAAGAACAATGTTAACTTTTTTTGTTTTGTTTTGTTTTTACTGATTACAATTTTGGTGTTTAACACGTGTGTAGGGACATTTTTTAATGAAATCAAATAATTGGTGGATGTCAACACGTGTATGTCCGTGCACTTGATCACTTGATGTCCTTAGTTATTTCAAATTTTATATGATTGACAATATAAGCACCTGCTTCTTTATTTCGTGTTCTTTAGTTATCTTTTATGTTTTTTTTTATTGCTCAAAATTTTTTGAGTAATTATGAATATAAATTAAATTTCTAAACATAAAAATAATTACTTTTATATCATATAGATTATTATGTAAATATGTGTGAATTTAAATACATTTATGATTTTTCATAAAATCATTTTTTTCTGTAATAAAACCATCCATCTCTATACATATCTCTTAATTGTGCACATGACATAAAACTAATTATTTTTTGGTTTGTGATAATTAAAGTCTTAATGAAGTAATTGATAATATATGAAACCAGTAGATATTTTAGTTATACTAATAACAAATATTAATCATTTTGAAAAACATATTTTACTCTTATAAATACAAAATATTTTTTATCAGTTAAATTTAAAATTTAAATCGACATAAACAAAAATTTTACTCCTCTATTTGGTGTCATCTTTTCCTCTACTTGATTTAGGTGAGGCAAGTCTTTTTATTGGTTGAACAAAAGATGTTTTGGTGCTTACTGGTTTAGTTATTATGCATGTATCAAGAGAAATTCTTCTTCATTTTGTTTTTCAGGAATAAGAGATTTTCTTGAATAGTTAATTACTTCAAGAGAATACACAAAACCTATTTGGATATGGTGCTGAAAGATGTAGCTGAACGTATGGCATTGTTGGATCTTGTAGATATAAAGTGTTATAATGTCAATTAAATCTTAATTAACATAAAAAAATATCTTTCTGCCAGTTATAAAGTCAATATAGGAAATCCTTTCTTTAATATTGATTTTTCTAAATTTCGAGGTTAAGGTTCAACCCTTGATAACTATTGGTGTTTAATTATTATATTTTCATTTTTTTTGTTATCTTATTGATGTTATCTTATTTTTCATTATTATAAATATTTAGGAAATAAGAAAGAGGTAAGCTTAAAAATTAGGTTTTAAATCATGAGAGAAATTTTAATTATTCAATAATGATAAAACGGGTTAGATGGTTGGTTCATTCCGCCTTAAAAAGTGATATAGATTGGTAGTTTTAGTCCATTAATATGTAACGGGTTAAGACGAGAATTTTAAATAAATATTTATATATTAAAATTAAAATAAAAAGAATTATAATTAAAAATATGAATTTTTATGATATGTTATTAAAATATATAAATATATTATAATATTATAATTTAAATTATAAAAATTAATTAATTAAATTTAAATTATTAATTATAATTAGTTATTTTAATATATAAATATAGTAATTTTTAAAATTTATCGAATAAAATATTAATTAATAAACAAAAATTTAAAATTTATTCATATAATTAAAAATATATTTTAAAAAAATATATATAAAAGATATTGACAAATTGATTTATCCATTAAAGATTATAGCGGACCAATCTATCTCATTTTTTTTTAAACTAAAGACGAGATGATACAAAACAAAATTAACTTATTATTTTATCATCTATCTTTCAAGTAACTAATCAATAAATTAACAAAAAAAACTGAGAGAATTCAATTGAGAATGATACAGGATCAATTCAATAAGACACGTAAAGAGAGCATACAAGTTAATTTTTCTTCATTGAAAATTCAAAGAATATTTAAAAAAAATTAAACTAATAAAAAATGTGGGTGTGAAACTAAATTCTAATTTATTTACATTAATTCTATCTCAATTAAATAAATAAATAATTTTTAATTCCTTGAAAAGAAATAAAGCTAAAACTAAACATGTCCATTCACTCATAGCTTAAGAGTTAACTACTTTTTTTTTTTATCCACCTAGTAAACGGACTGGAAGACCTTTCAGCCTTCATAAACCCTACACAAAATGGGCTAAAGTTAGGTCCAAGTCAGTTAGGCCCACCACAAATAAAAATTTGTAATAATATGCAAATGAATATTATTATAAATAGTTCTTTATAATACTTTTTATTAGTTTTAGAAATATAAAAATCATAATATTTTATTCATTTTTTCAATTTAATATTATAAGAAAATTAGTTTTGATTGATTGATTTATTTATTTTCTCTAATATATAAGAATGCTAAAATTATGAAATAATTTAAAATTTTCATTTTCTTCATAAAAGAAAAAGTAACCATGAAAAATCACACACATGTTTTTTCTATTTCATAAATATTTAAAACTATTATTATTTTATTTTATTTTTTCTGTTAAATATTTAAAAAAATAAAAACAAAATTAAATTAAGTTATTATATTTAGAGATAAAAATAAATTTGAGATGAGGCATTTATATAAAATTAAAGTTCATTTTTCATCAAGAAAATTGTAAAAATTGATTTGAGAGTATTTAAGTTTTTCTTTTATTAATATATTTCTATATTTATGAAAATGATATTGAAAAAAAAAAAAAATAAGAGCATGTTATATTTTCTTAGAAGTTACATGTTCATGTCTATACATTTTTTATTCCTATAATAAGTGGTGAAAAGTTATACTTCTTATTTAGAAATGTTAAAAATTATTCCCTAACTACATATAATTTGTTTGACTTTATATTTATTTTAATTATTTCAAAATTTGAATTTTATTCCAAGAAATATAAAAAATAGGCAACATATTTTTAAATATATCTAAAAGCATCATTCTGCTTATAATAATATGATTTTGTGGAACACAGTATCTTATCTTGAAACAAACGCTTTCTAAAAAGTAAATATAATAATTAAATTCTCATAAATAAATAAATAAGCAACGATTTGCATCCCTGACATGATGACCAGCTCATACAGCAACATTGCTTGTTGGAGCGATCAATGACAGCCATGTGGACGTAAATTATTGGGCTTACAGGATCTGCTTTGTCGAGAATCGGATTCTCAAACGTGCTTCTAAATTGCTCACTCTAATTTCGTTGTAAAGTAAAATGTTATTTCTTTGATGGGAAGAAGATTTATGAATTGGAGATAGTTCTTACACTAATGCATAATCAACAAAATCTTTCCTCAAATATCACACCATATTAATATACTATTCGAACTCACGAGTTGAACTCACACCATCTTGCATTAACCTATATCGGATACTGATTAATCTTTCAAAATCATTTGCTTACATGTGATCGTGTCTTTGTACAACTATATATAGTGGGAAGAGTGATGAGTAGTGCAAGCAGCAACTAGTTCTGAGAGATTCAGAGATGAATTTGGTGTGGCCAAAGACAAAGAGCATGGGCTTCTTGTTGCTCCTCACTTTTCTACTCTTTGCATTGCCAACACTCTCTTCCTCGCAATATGAATATGTTAGGAACACTATGTTCCTCAATCATCGTAAGATACTTCCCAAACAGGAACCTCTTACCTCTTATGCTGTCATATTTGATGCTGGTAGCTCTGGGAGTCGTGTGCATGTCTTCCATTTCGACCAGAACTTAGATCTCCTTCACATTGGCAATGACCTTGAGTTTTCTAAAAAGGTCAAACTGAAACCTTACACACACACACACACACACACACACACACACACACACACATATATATATATATATATATATATATATATATATATATATATAGTTATATCGATCCCTTCATTCAGTGTTCTCTTCATTTTCTTACCCTTACATTCTTCTTCATTATTGTGGTGCAGATCAAACCTGGTTTGAGCTCATACGCGGATAATCCTGAAAAAGCCGCACAATCTCTCATTCCACTTTAGAGGAAGCTGAGAGTGTTGTCCCTGAGGAACTGCACCCCAAGACACCCCTGAAGCTTGGGGTGAGTATCTTTCATCTCTAAGGGTTTGAACCATTATCCTCCAACAACGTGACAGGAAAGATAATTAAGTGATAGTGATTAATAGGCATGATCTTAGTCTAAATAAAACTGGCTAGTCCGTGCTGGTAACGACGCAGTTGCTTGCGTATGGTAACGACGCAGCTCGTGCTGAGATTTTTAAGGTCACTGATGGTGCAGCTAGTCCGTGCCTTTTAGCAGGCTATGAAGGTCAATAAAGCATTCTTCTTTTCACAAACCCTAATGAAACTTTATTATCCTACTCATGAATGGTACAAATAAGGATTGAAAACGAGAAAGGATTCCAATTCACTACAAGAAAACAAAAAGTCATTTAGTGACCAAAGTTATTTTTCCCTCGCTTATAGTGGGAATACCGAAACTGTGGTTTATATTTTAAACTTACTTTCTAATTGTTTTGTCACTGTTTTTGTTTTCTCACTGATTTTAAGTTGAGTTTTCTACCATTTTTTGTTTTCATCAAGCATTACAGAGTCTGCCAATAACATGTGGGTTTTTCTTGTTGTTCAAAGATATATATACAAATACTCCGGAGAAACATACAAGGTGTATGGCCCCACTTCAGGTTCCAACTTTGATGACAGAGAGATGGTTGTTCAGGTTCTCAGACTGAATGAGCCATGCTCCCATCAAAATTGCACATTTGGTGGGATATGGGATGGTGGAAAAGGAAGTGGGCAGAAAAACCTTGTTGTTACTTCATCTTTCTACTATAGGACTTCTGAGGTAACCATCCCCTGTTAATTACTCATTTATCAAAGCAAGGATTTTTAAGATGCAAAGAGAGGTTGTACAAATGTAAAGACTCAATGAATATGATTAATGCATGCTAATTATGTTGTTTATTGCTTTTAGGTTGGTTTTGTCACTGCACCCAATTCAAAAAGTCGTCCTGTGGAATGGGAAGTTGCAGCCAAACAAGCTTTTGAAGCCATATCATCTTTGCCTAAATTTAATCGATTAATGTATTTTATTTAAAACAAAATACAACTTTATCAAAATAATTAAAATAAAACTCACCCTTTCACTAGTCCTCTGATTCCATCCAGTCTCAAGTGTTTTTGTTTCCAACAGTGGTGGTGTAAAAGTGAAGCAGAGTATCTTTGTTTTTCTGAGATATTAGAAATAGGTTATGAACTGCCAATTAACTAATAATAATAATAATAACAATAATTATGTTATATACTTAAACTATATATATATATATATATATCCTACTCTCAGGTGCATTTCTCGACAACACCTACGTTGGTGATAATATAATGATTTATACATCATGTCATCGTTTAATAATAAAAAAATCATTTCACAAATTTTAAATTAGATTAACGAATTTCTTTTTTAAAAAACAGACATTTTATAAGTTCAACGATCTTATTTATAAATTTCTTTCTTTATTTTCTCTCTATCATATTATAATCATCATAAAATTATATTTGTTTTCTTCCTTTAGATATTATTAGGTATCTTTCATTTTTATGATATAAATGTGTAATAATTTTTTTTTTAACTTATTCTAGCCCATGACTCATTTGAAAAAAAAAATTTATCCACCCTTAAAATAATAATCACTCATATAAACCTATTTATTTTGTAATATTATTATATTATATGATTAATTAATTAATATCTAATATAATATATGAGACATAATATAATATTTAAATAAACTTTTAAAAGGTTGAATAGTATGTTTGAGTACAATATAATTGTTTTCTTGTGTATTTTAAATGAATATCTTCCTATAAAAAATGAATATTTTTCCGTGCAACATGAATGGACAGTAGAATATCCATTGAATATTCCTCCATGGGAATTTCCTCAATGGGTGTGGAGTGAAGGGACAAGTTACGCAAAACAAATAAAAAGTAGCCATCTTTCCACAGTTTCCTCTGTTTGCGGCACATTATCTATATCAGAAATCTTGAAACAAAAAATTTAATTTTTTACAAAAATGAAATTTACTTGTTTATGAAATTATAAGAACAAAACGGATTCAAACAAAAACTAAAGTTACTTGAAAGATGTGAAGAGAATAGAATTATATATCATGGCTCTTTGAAACTCGATAGGGAAAGTTAGATTATTGGAGAAAAGATTTGTGAGTAAAATACAGAATAAACCGTGACGTGAACGTTGGATAAGCCCTCCAAATAACTAATTTTTAATTTGTAAGATCGAAGAAGTCCCATTTCATGAAAAGAAAAAATGAAAAAAATATCCAAGAAGTCACCAACTACATTCACCTTCTTCATTCTACCTTCAGTTTTAGTTTGGTGAAGGATTGCCCCACGACATGGACTAATTATTGCCGCTCTTTGACATTAATAAAATAAAACAATATTCAATTAATGTAACAGAAAAAAAAAATTTAACTATTTATTCATCTCTTAGTCTACAAATGAGGTAGGAATTAGAGAAAATCGGAGGAGGAATACGTTGACATTTTGCATTACATTCACTACAAGAAATATTAAAATTACCGACGGTCAAAATCCGTCGGTAAATGAATATTACCGACGGATCCGGATCCGGTAATAATTTTATTAATTATTAAATATTTTACTTATTTATAACATTATTTTTTTTATAGAACCCTCCCCTTATGTTTTTATTATTTATTATTAATTATTTCAATTATTTCTCCATATTATATTTTTATAACTTTGAATTATTGTCAAATTAAGAGAAATGTCATTGGCAGATTCAACTCAAGATCTTAGCAATCAGATGATACTCCAACCACTAAGCTAGTAGAATTTCTTGATAACAATTTACAAATAAATTATATTTATATACAAATATACAAATACATTTATATATATACAAATATACAAATACATTTATATATATTTATATACATTTATATATATTTATATATATTTTTTTATATATTTTTATATATTTATATATATTTATATATATTTATATATATTTATATACATTTATATACATTTATATATATTTATATATATATATATATATATTTTTATATATTTTTATATATTTATATATATTTATATATATTTATATATATTTATATATATTTATATATATTTATATATATTTTTATATTTATATATATATTTATATATTTATATATTTTATATTTTATATTTATATATATTTTTATATTTTTATATATTTATATATATATATATATATATTTATTTATATATTTATATATAATTAAATATTTATTTTTAAAATTACTTAATTTAATAAATTATTATAAATTAATCTAATTATGATTAAATTAAATTATTAAATAAAAAATATTTTATTTTTTAATTAGTGAATAATTAAATTATATTATATAATTTTACCGACGGATTTATCCGTCGGTAAATAATTTTAATTTACATATGAATTTACCGACGGATATATCCGTCGATAATTACTTGTTAATTTATCGACGGATTTACTGAACGGATATATCCGTCGGTAAATTCATCTATAAATTACCGACGGATTATCGATGGATATATCCGTCTGGTAACTAATTATTATTTTACCGACGGATATATCCGTCGGTAACATCAAATTTCACAAATATTTTATATCCGTCTGTAATTTTCGTCTGTAATGATTATTTTTCGATCAGCTACAATTCGTCGATAAATATCCATCTGAATACTGCGATTTTCTTGTAGTGATTAGACTTTACTTGTATAGTACATGAAGTGTTAATTAAGAACCAATTACATTATTCATATCTATTTTTTAATGTAAATTAATATATTATTTAAAAATTAATTTATACTTTGTTTCCTTCAAATATTTTTGATAAAATTTATCCAATGTTCTGAGGAAATGCGTCACCTCTCAATAGGTTAGTGACAAGTAAATTATTAATAGTGATAAATTTAATTCAAATTTTTAGTGATGAATATTTTTCTTACTAAAACTGTGTAAAGAGATAAATTACAAACCCTTTTGGAGAAGTGTTCTTAATTCTACCCTTTTGGACACAAAATTATGAGTTAAAGTGTGTATTAGGTAGGTCAATTATAAAATCTTACACATATATATATATATTATAGTAATGTGACAGAAAACTCACCATAAAACAATATAATGATTAAAATGGATTGAAGTTACGTATAAATATTTGACACATTAAATTTGTGATTGTCATTAGGTATTGACTATTATATATACACGTGATTTTTATGGAAAGAAAGCTAGTGAATTGGTTATTAAATAAACCCTTTATCACCATGGAAGCTTGTGGAAGAACCTTCCTTCTTATCCAATGGGCATAAAAATGAGGAAAGTTACTTGAATAGTTGGAGGTTAGGCACAGGGCATTAGTCATTGGCATGAAACTCCAATCAAAGTAGAAAAATAGAAACCCTAGCTTCAATGGCACATTCACAATGGATAAGTGCAAACGTGCAATCCTTTGGATTAGGTAAACTACTACACGTGGAAAACTACACGTACCAGTCACAATCAAGAATGGTAGATGAATAACTAAATATGTATTTTATTTAAATTATTATATTTGTTCGATCGTGGCCACATTACATGTCCTTGACTAGTCTCCGACACATATTTTCACAAACAATGCTTGATGAGTCCAAATTTCTAACTAACTCCATGTTTTTACCTCCAATGATATATGTGTTACCAACATGTCCCTGCAGCCTTATTATGTTTCCACAGAAAATTAAGGAGAGAAAAGAGTGTGAGGCGTTCATCTTTATCCAAAATAACCATAAATTATTATATATAATAATAAAATGTTGTTAGGCTTTATATTATATGTTTAAGGTTAACACAATCTTTTAACAAAAGATTACGAGGGATTCAACATTTGAATCCTAATAATTTCATTTTAAGTATAAAATACATGATGTTGAAAAAAAAAATACTATATATGAAAAAATTAATATATATATATATATATATATATATATATATATATATATTAATAAAAAAATTAATTGACAACTTATTATAATAATTGTAATCTATTTTTTATAATAAGTTAAATATTGGTATTTTTGTCATTGTAAAACATTTCTACTTAAATTAAAGAATTAATTGATATATTAAGTAAATTCAATTAATAATTAACATACTAACTTATTATGTGGATTTCTTATTAAACTGAGCTAAATATAATTTACTATAATCGTTATTAATTAAATTGACAGACTTTATTGCCTTACTTTTTTCTGTTGGCATTTTTTCTTCTTTTCTTTTTCTTTTTTGTTTTTGACGATGAAATTGTGTGGTGCTTATTCGATTTTTGTTCGGATCAAGTACACAATTGGAGAAAAATTACCTGCATAGCACACTGTTAAAATTATTTACCTAAATAGCACGATTTTATTAAATGGTTGCAACTGGGCTCGCTAAACACCAAATTCCAAAATTTTTAAAATATAATAATATTTATTAAATATATATTTAAAAAAAATATATACAAAAATATATAAATATTATATATATTTTTTAAAATTTTATTTACATAATTATATGAAATAAATATAAATATATTTTTTATATAACATAAAAATATATTTATATAATTATATAATTAATATATTTTTATAAATATAATAAATATAAATATATTTAATATATATATATATATAATTTAAATATATATTTATATTTTAGTAAGTCTAATAAAATTTAATAAATATATATTTATATCTTTCTGCTTAACATTTTTATAGATATATTTTTATAGATATATTTAATATATATATATATATATATAATATTTAAATTTTATTTAATATATATTAGTTGAAGAAAAACATTGATAAAAATGATAATTTATAGGAATAAAAAATAAAAAATAAATTTATATAAGACATTATATGAATAATAATTTATTTAAGAATGACTTTGATGTACAAAATTAGAAAAATACAAATAAATTATAAGATTATAGATTTAATATTTAAATAAATTTAATAAATATAAATTTATATACGACTCATAAAAAAATGTCACCCAACAAAATGTTCTTATTATCATACTTTAGGTCACACAAGAAATTATTGTGCACATAACTCTAACCTTAGGGGATCAACTTCTCATAGATAAATATGTTGTAATTTTATGATATGACATTATAATTCATAAATAAATTATTATATTTAT